TTTTTCTTACTTGTATTTGCTATAAATTGTTTATCTTTGCAATTCTGTTGTTTTCAGGGGGAGAAAAGGGAAGGTTTAACAGCTCCTCATATTTGCCTCTTATTTCCTTGGATTTTTAACCTCCCAGATCTTGCTGTTTGTGGTTCTCTCTCCCTTCCTGCAGACTGAAAGCAGTTCAGTTCTTTTTTTGCTCCCTTTACTTGTGCCAAACCTTTATCTGCGGCCTCCAGCAATGCAATATCTCCATCTTGCCCAACATCACCACTTTATTAGCTTATTTCAAAATAGTTTATTTCAAAATAGTTCATTTCCAAAGAGCAGCAAGGGATTTTCCTACCCCGCTCTCCTTGAAAAATCAGTGTTTTTCCCAAGGTATTTCATTTGCTTCATTTTGTCCTTTGAAACAAAGACTCCTTAGGCTTGTAAGTCCAGATTGATTTTGGTGTTGGTGGGATTTGCTGTCAAACAAGTGAAATTCCTGCTGTTACAGATGATTTGTTCTCAAATTAAATTAAATCAAATCCTGCTGCGTTAGTAGCATTTATGATAGCTCTTTTAAATACCGTTTTTTCTAACCCCTTCTTTTGCATCCTTTCCCTTTTCCAGCTGTCCATTTACAGGAATCTGCTCTGCAGGAGTTGGCGCAGGAGGCACCACCTGCGAAAGAGCAGAGCACCCAAATGGATGAAGCAGCTGTTAAATCGGGACTGGGAGGGCAAAGTGAAGAGGAGAAATCCAAGCCAGAGGGGGGAAGTGATCGTGGGGATGAGCCCAACAATCTGTCAGGAGAGCATCACCACCACTTGCACCTTTCCAGCTGCCACGAGTGCCTGCAGCTGGAAAACAGCACCATCGAATCGGTCAAATTCGCCTCTGCAGAAAACATTCCGGAGCTTCCCAATGATTCCAGCAGCAAGCTGGAGGAGGAGAGGGATGGCTGCCTGGAAAGAGGGATGAAGAGGGTGAACCTTGCTGGGAAGCCCCCGAATGTGCTGATTTACGTGGGCTCCCAGGGGGCCAAGGGGAAATTCGAGCAGGTGAGATCAATCCTTCGGGAGTGCGTCGATGCAGAGAGCTACACCATCTACCAGCTGCACCAGGAGCAAGTGCTGAGAGACCCCTGGGTCGACAACTCCCTGCTCCTGGTCATTGCCACGGAGGAGCCCATTTCTGAGGGGACCCACGAGCAGTTCATGAAGTTTTTGTCCAAAGGCGGGAAGATTCTCGGGATTTCTTCGTCCTTCACGTTCGGCGGCGTTCGGATCAAGCGGAAGAACAAGCTGAGGAGGACTGTCCACGAACTGGTGGCGTCCACAAGGGACAGCCCTGAGGTGAAGCTGGATCTGGTGGTCAGTGGCTGTGTTTTCGAGGAAGGGGGGAAGGAAGAGGCTGGCGAAGTGAAGACGTTGTGTCGATTAAATAACGCCGAGAAAGACACGGTTATTGTTCGCCTGACTCACGGGGACAGCGGAGGAGAAGCCATCCTTTCCCAGGTGCTGTGGGTGTGGAGGTGTTGGTTTGCACGTTGCTGCGTGGGGAAAAGGTCACTTCTTCCCACTGTGTGATCTTGGGGGTTCCTATCAAGGAGAGAAGCGTGGAATTGTTTGGGTTGGGAGGGATTTTAAAGCTCAGCCGGTGCCACCCCCTGCCATGGGCAGGGACACCTTCCACCAGCCCAGGTTGCTCCAAGATCCAAACCTGGCCTTGGACTCTTCCAGGGATCCAGGGGCAGCCACAGCTTCTCTGGGCAACCTGTGCCAGGGCCTGCCCACCCCCTGAGGTGCAGAGAGATGTGCTAGTGGATGTGCAAGGACTCTGAATGCAGAATGGGTTTCCTTTGATCCTCAACAATGCCACTGCTGGTCCACTTCCCCGTTGTCACCATGGAACCAGGAAAGATCAGAGGGGTGGTGGAAGAAAGAGCAGGTTTGCATGTTAAGCAGGAGTCTTACTTACCAATCCAGACCAATATCTCCAAGGTGGGTGCCAGGAAGATGGTGCCAGATTGTCCCCAGTGGTCAGGCCAAGGAGCAGAGTCCTCAAACGAAACCACAACAAGTTCCACCTCAACATGAGGAGAAACTTCTTTCCATGGAGGGTGAAGAGCACTGGAAGAGCTGCCCAGGGAGGGTGTGGAATGTCCCTCTCTGTAGACATTCCAACCCCACCTGGACACATTCCTGTGTCACCTGCTGCAGGTGGCCCTGCCTGGGCGGGGGGTTGGGCTGGGTGATCTCCAGAGGTGCTTTCCAACCCCAGCTATCCTGGGATTCTGTGATCTTCAAGAGCAGAGCTTTCCTTTTCTGCCTGCTGGAGGTTGAGCAGTGACAAGAGTTGGGAATTCTGCAGATTTTGGGAGGTGGGAACAGGGAGAGCCGAATTGTGACAGATTTGGGGGTGAGAGCTTACACTGGCAAAACAAAAAAGTCACTCTTGCTAAAATCTGAACTATGGGGAAGCAGGGAGTGTAAAATAAACCTCGCTGGAAACTACTTTTTATAATTCCCAAGTCTTTTCTTCAGGCTTTCAAGTTTTAAATGTTTAACATTCTGCCCCTATGAAATAGCTCAGAGCACCTGGGGGGAGTGAAGGAGCCAAAAATCTTCCTCATTCCACTTGAAAACAATATCCCAGCAAACAGGTGCCTCTCCAGCGTTAGGGTATTGTGGTGTCTGGTAAAAGAGAAAACCCCACAACCAAACAAAACCCTCACAAAAATAAACAACAGAGAAGTCAAGTGTTCATAATATTTTTTTTTTTTTTTTTAAATATTATTCTCTGTGGATAATGGGTGTGTTAAAGGTAAATGTTGGTCTCTGATTATTTAAATATTCAGAGCTATAAGTTTTGAGTGTTGGAAAGGCTGATAAAAAGTTTAGAAAATAAGTGTATGCCCTGGAAGTACGAATCTGCCAAGCACACTGAGAAAAGCAGAGCAACATTTATTTGCCAGTGTTCAAGTGAATTAAATTAAGTAATGTAATAGAGACTCAGCTTTATGAAAGGTTGTATTTTAACCAATATTTTAGGTCGAGGAGAACTTTCTCAGGAGCCCAGAGCACTCAAATTTCACTGCTCAGGGATCAGGTGTCAATACTTTTCCAGCCATTACGTAGTTCAGAAACATTCCTGGGGTTTCTCAGAAGTGTTTCCATCTCTTATCAGTTTATCAGGTCAAATCTGCTGGTTTTTTGGAAACTGTTAGACGGAGCAGCATGTTTAGAGCTTTCTTTTTTTTTGGTGGGCAGCTTTGCCGCCCCGTGTGCTGGATGCTTGGACCGGAAAATCGATTAGAAACTTTCTGCAAGATCCCTGGAAAAAACCTGCTCTGCTGCAGCCCTTAAACTGACCCTTCTGCTGTAGGAAAACTTAACACTGCAGAGGTTTCTCCCCTTTTACATCCCCCAGAAAAAGAGCTTTTACAGCACAGCTTCAAAAAAAAAATCAGATTAAAAAGATTAGTGTGTCATTTTATAATTCCAAACGACTTCCAGTGTGGGTTTGAAAAGCCCTATTGTTTTCACTTCAGGGGCCGGGCGGTGACATCAGCTGTTAAATATTCTGCCACAGAAATGCTTGCCTTGTTTTGATGCTCTTCTGGGGGGGGGTGTGTCCTGCCCCCATTGACATTTTTTATAGCCATGGAGTGGTTTGGGTTGGAAGGGACCTCAAAGATCACCCAGTTCCCACCCCCTGCCATGTCAGGGACACCTTCCACCAGCACAGGTTACTCCAAGCCCCGTCCAACCTGGCCTTGGACACTTCCAGGGATCCAGGAACATCCACTGTCCTTCATTTCCCTGAATTTCAGTGAAGCAGATCATAGATAAAACACAAAGGACATCATTAAATTGAAGAAATGAACAAAAGAATAGCTTGTGGTTTTCATTAAATGAATCTGCGCGTGGTAGATTACAAGGCCTTCTAAATATCTTGGAACAATTATTTATAAACCAAACCAACCAACCAAAATAAAACCTCACAAAAACCATCAAACACAGAAAGAAAACCAGAAAAAAAAGGGAGGTCTATGAAGGATTTCTTTTTTTTTCTGTTGTATTTCATTTCTGCTGCAGCCCTGAGTGATTTCTCTGCCAGGTGAGAAAGTAATTTTTTCAGACAGAAGCATTTCTTGATCTGCACTGATTTCAACTTAATTCACGTGACACAGTAAGGACTTCTTTTGAGTTCTTCAGATCTCCAACCTCTGGTAAAGCTCTTTCAGTTTTAATGCAATTCTTCTCTGGTACACAAGGCAAAATACGCCCCATCTTGCTGTTGGTTCTGGCAGACATGAGGAGGAGGGGGATAAACTGAATTAGTAAATACAAGTTTGAACATCTCCTCCGGGAAATGTTTACTTCAGAGGGGGATATTTTGGGTTTCACAGGATATTGTGAGTGGATTGACAGCTGAACACTGATTTTTTTTTTTTTGCCCGTATCCTGCCAGGCCCACTTGGAGCTGGACAGCAATTCCATGGATGTGCAAACCGAGGAGGATTTTAACCTGCTGAAGATGAGCAACAGCAAGAGATACCAAGTCCTCAAGGAGATCCTGGTGTCGCTTGGCCTGAGCTGTGAATCAAGGGAACTCCCTGCCTTAACACCTCTTTACCTGCTCTCTCCTGATGAGGTAAGTTTTTACCCTGCAAGGTAAATTCAGTGCCCTCCTAAATCCACCTCGAGGTGTTTTTGCTCTGAGAGGTTTGTGCAGGTGCTGCAGGTAAGCAAAAAATTCAATTTCTGCTCTGTTGTGTTACCTGTTGGTTGTAATTCTGAATTCCACCGCGGGGGAATTAATTTTTCAGCTCTATTTTCTGTTTGGTCCTTGGAGTTTTCAAACATGCCACGAGTTAAAATTTGGCTAAATTGCTATCCAAACTTGCCATCTAGTGGCATATCCCAGGGTTGCAGGCCACCTAATAAAGATATTTTAACTGCACGCTCTGTAGTTCAAGTTTATACCAAAATAAGGTGGTTTTTTAAAAATTTTATTCACATTTTTCAATGTGAAAATGTGATATTTATTGGGTTTTTTTCCCACATTTTTGATGGTAACTTTGATTAAAATAAATAAGGGGTGTGCAATAGTTTAATTTTCTCAAAAATTAGATATTTTTCTCCGTACATCACGTTCTCCCTAGAGAGCCAGGAGATACCAGAAAGGTATCTGAGAGGAGAATAAATTCTGGAAATACTTAATTTTTTTTTTAAGAACAGAGCGAGTCAGCAGTACTGGAAATACTATTTTGTATGGAAAGCTTGTCCAGTACAGCTCACTGGTTTGGATATTACATAAATTTTATAAATTATACTGTATATTATATTATATTGTCTCTAAGACTTGTCAGTTCATTAATGATTCCTCACTCCCAAACTGGAGTTTCCACCTGCACCGTTATGTTTAAAAACTGCTGTTGGACCTCACCTTGTCAGATTTTTCTAATTAATTTTAGACACTACGAGCTCTTTTTTTTTTGCATATGTGGAAGAAATAAAAAACGGATTTTGCTCTGATTGTTTTTTATTCCATGAAGAAAAAATACTGATTATAATTACTATACTGATTATAATCACTTCAGAATTTCCATCAGATCTACACCGAGAACGTCAAATAAAACTTTCCCAGCTGGATTATGTGCCCCAAAAGCTTCTCCTGGCTTTTTCCTCTGCCTAAAATTCCTTGAAAATCTGAGTCTTCTGGCATCATTGTGATTCTGTTAATGATTCTGTTATTAATCCAATCAAATCTGTGATGCTGATTGGTATAAATTTGATTATTAAGATCTCAGTGCTACCTTTTGCAATATAATTTTTAGCTGCTTCTGAGGGGTGAACTGGAATTTTTTTTTTTTCTTTACCTCCTTGGGATGCGCATTTTGAAGTTGTAATTTGCAGTTTCTGGGGTTATTTTGCTCGATATAGCAAAATCGGTTATTAATTTCCAGTTTATAGGGTTTAATTCCCAGTTTGTAAGTTAAAATCCCAGTCCTGCTATGTGGATTAAAAAAAGCCAACCAAATATGAGCAGAATTGGTATTTTTTATTATTATTATTATTATTATTATTATTATTATTATTATTATTATTATTATTATTATTATTATAATAAAATGATCTGAATAAGAGGTGGTCATGCCCATCTTTGAGAGATTTAGATCTTACCATGTAGAATTATGGCACAACAACAGAGGTTTAAACAGTGTTTGAATCAATATAAAGCAATATATAATATACAATTATATAAATTATATAGTTATATATATATAATATAAGAAAGGCAGATGTATATAATACGTATCTTATATATTTGTGTATATATATTTGTACGTCTCCAAATATAGCATTATACAGTATGTAATTATATATATTATATAAGAAAGGCAGGTTGCTTGCTGCTTAAAATGTTCATTAAATCTGCACAACTTGATGTTCAATGTAATTTTAGAGGCAAACATTGATATGGAAACACTGCTCCTTTATCTTTTCTTTTTTTTTCTTGCTCTGATGTAAAGCAGTTGAGCAGATTTTAGTCCTGCCCAGTGCTGTGGGAAGGAAATTCTGTGTCGCTGTGGTGGAGTTCCAACGTTGAAACCAGAGTGGGGGATCACAAATCCTCTTGTCTGGCATCCACATGTTCAGTGGCAGCTCCAACCATAGAGATCTGATTTTTAATGCAGCTTTGCCTTTAAACACTCCAATATTTACTTCTCTGGGCCACCTTAAGGGATAATTTTTCAGACATGAACGCCAGGATTGGGTTTTTACTGCCAGAAATTTCAGCAGAACATCTTCTAGATTTCAAAACAAGGATTTACTCCCTGAAGAACAGGAGGGGGTTTGGCACAATTGTGATTATTTCCACACATTTGCCTGTCTGAAGCATCTTAAAACTTGACTGGGAGGCTCCTGAGGCTCCAAATCCATTTTGTTTTTGGGTGACTCGGTAGCTGCAGCACAATCAGAGTTCAGTGGGACCGGATTTATTTGTCTGGAGCTGCAGTTTGATTCTGGTTTTTAAAATTCCAAGCCTGTTATGTCAGCCAAGAGGGCCTGAAGTGACTTTATCCTGAATAAACCTTCCTTTGAGGGTGGGAAATTTGAACTCTCAGCTAACACTGCAGTGGACCCGCATTTCAGGCTGCATTTGGACACAATTGTTCCTAAAATATTTCCCTGGGTATTGTAGAACTTGGGATTCAACTTGGAAAACTTTAAAAAAAAACCTTTTAAAAATTCCCCAGGAAGGGACAGTTACATGGAAACTCCAAAGTCGTCTTTTTAGTGCTATCTAAATATTTTGTTTACAGCTGGACCAAAAAAAGTATCATCTTAAAAAAAAAAACAAAACAGGAGATTTGCTTGTTTTCTCTTACCATCCTCAAAGCATGAGCATCATCCCTGCCTTTTTAGCCAGTAGGACAGAAATGCCAGAGCCCTTTGGAATATTTATTCTAGAATGGAAATTTGCTCAGAAGAGCTGAGAAAAACACTGAATGAAAAAGGGACTGATAAATAGCTTGTGTCTAACATTTTTTTTTCACTTTTGTTAATGTATTATAGTTATTATTTGAAATCAACAGTGCCAGAAGTCTTTATCTGTACTGGAAAGCTTTTCCCAGATTGTCTCTCTTAGCTAGGAACAAAAATACCTTTATGGCAAAGTTGCTTCATGGGGGGGAAAACAAAAATAGATAAAGCAATAAAGGTTCATCTGTACCAGTAAAAATGAGTATTTGCTGAAGTGCCTTATTGGTTTTTGGAGGTGGATTTAATGTGTGAATAATTTTTTGGGGTTAAAAACTGTGTTTCTACCAAGCTGGTTGGGCATTTGGGAAGCCGCTGTCACAGGTAGGGTGGGTTTGCCTTGGCTTGGTTTGTGTTCTTCTCCCCCCCATCCTCAAAAGGACTTTTTTGTTTCTTTGTGACAAAAATGTTGCGAACCCAGAAGAGTCCCCGAAATCAGAAATCATAAAACTAAACTGATTTAAGGGTTGCCATTCGTGGAAAAGCTCTTTGTGTCAAAGTCTGGATTCTAATAATTCTAATAATTCTAATAATAGTCCCTGCTGTTTGCTGGTGTTCTTTGTGGTTCTGAAAGGAATTGTTCTCAGAGGGGATGGTTTTTGACACTCTGTAGCTCCTTTTTTTTCCTCTTTTTGCCCTTAAGATAATGAAATTACCTGGGAATTGTCTCCTAATTTAACAGTTTGCAGCTCTCTCGGCCAGGTTCTTGTGTCTCAGTGATATTTCCTCTTGTACCTCAGTGAACAAGTTTGTGACATTTCTCACACAGTCACAAACTGACAGAGGTGGGATAAGAGCTGAATATTTTAGCTCATCTTCCTTCTTTCCCCTCAGTCTTCTTATACTCCACACACCTTTGTTAGTGTAATTTTCTGATAGAACTGCTGGTTCTTCAGTAAAATCTGTAAACTTTGGGGTTCCAACAACTTGGTAGAGGTAAAAGCTTAAAAGAAGCTGAGTTTGTACAGCGAGTTTTGTAACGTAGAGTCCAGGGCAGGATGATTTTCCCGGGTAGTTCTGTGCCCAGGCAGCCTGTCAGGATTCCCTGGCAATAAAGAATCAGAATCACAGGATCATGGAATCATCAAGGTTGGAAGAGACCTTCGAGATGATCCAGTGCCACCCTCACCCAGCACCACCAGGATCACCCCTGATCCACGTCCCCAAGGGCCACATCCAGACCCCTCTGGGACACTCCCACACACAGGGACTCCACCACCTCCCTGGGACACTCATTGCAAGGCCTGACCACTCCTGCAGGGACAAATTGTTTCTGCTCTCTGCTCTGAACCTGCCCTGGGGCACTTGGAGGCCATTTCCTCTCCTCCTTTCCCTTGGGATGTGGCAGCAGAGCCCGACCC